TCCAGTCATTGAAGCTAGGTCAAATGGGTACTGTCTGCAAGTTTGAGGGTTCTTATGCATCTCCCCTCACTTCATATCAGCTGGATGCTTCACTCTCAGCTCTAGCCCTCTGTGGCTATGTCCTTGTCCATGGGCTCAGGAGTCCCCAGGTCTCACCGATACTTTGGGCCAACCAGGTCTCACCATAGTCCATGTCGACAGGGGTCTATGTAATATGGTCAGACTCAGCCCACATCTTCATCGCTGCTTATCCCCCACTTCCACTCACCAGTAGACCAACATGGTCGCCAGCAAGCTTCTATGCCTACTCATGTATTCCTGTTGAGTTTCAGTCTTGGAAGGGGATTTGTCCTGAAGGGACTTGGTTTCTAGCCTTGATGGCTCCCCAGCAAACAACTTGCTTGTTCTGTGGTAGTGAGTCAGGCTGCTGTTTTTATTTTTAAATATTCCTGCTGGTTTTTCTTTCAAGAAGTATCTTCTGTTCCTCTCGCTGTTCCAGGCGGGTCTGCTTATCTTTTCAAGTGGGAATTCCCCACTTGAAAAGGTTCTGCATGGGGATCAGGATTCCACCTAAAGTCTTAGACACTATAAAGGCTCTGTAAGAAGTCTCTTTCACTTGGCAAGTTCTAGCACCCATTTTAGGTATTCCAATCAGTTATAGGCTGAAGACGGGTTTTTACAAGCTTTCTATAATCATGTTTCCAGATACTCCTTTCTATTCCCCTCAAGTGTCTATTTTACAATAGTAGGCAAGGGAAACCAATATTCATAAGACAGCCAAGCATCTTAACATTATTTCCCCTCAGACTATGTCTCAATCCTTGTATCACAGAGTCCTGTTGTTCCAAGGTTGAGCATACATCACTATTTACTTCTGTCACATTTAGCCCATGCAAACCTGCCTAAGTTTTCTCCTCTCTACCTTGTTCTTTCATCCCCCTCCCTCTTCTTGTGTATTGCCCACCCCAACATTTGAACTATGATATGTCTATCCCCTGCCCTCCCTCCTACCCCTGGTAACCAACAAAGATTTTTTTTTTCCTTTTACTATGGATATCTTTTCTTAAGATCTTACAGTAATGGTCTTATGCTATATTTCTCCTTTTGTGACTGACTAATTTCACTCAGCATAATGTCCTCAAGGTTCATCCTTGTTATGTGGTGATTTGCAGCTTCCTTGTTATTTTTCAAGGTAGCATAATATTCTGTTGTGTGGATGTACCACAGTTTGTTTATCCATTCTTCCATTGATGGGCACTTAGGCTGTCTTCATCATTTTACTATTTTGAATAGTGCTGCTATGAACAATTGGTGTGCATATATCTACTC